ACACACACACACACACACACACACACATATATAAACACATTATTAAAATGTATAAAAAAAAAAAACACATATATATATATATATATATATATATATGATTCCCAATGCACACTTCCCAGAATACTGAGTGCCCTGTTGGTTACAGTATAAAGTATAAAGTACAGTATACAGTTCTAAAGTATAAGTATGTTTATTTTACACAATTATTTTTAATCCATTTTCAAATGATTTCAAATTTCTTAAATATTAATTAAAATAAATAAAATTATATCGGCATTATATCGGCCACCCTGCTTTCCAAGATATCGGCATCGGCTGTCAAAAAACCCATATCGGTCGACCACTAATGTGTAGTCTGAAGGACTATGAATAATTATGTTTGCATATGAAACGTCACTCTCTTTGAAGTGGAAAATTATCTCAAAACGTGGCAAATAGGTGGCATTTCACACAATGCCACAAAACAATATTAATACTTTAAGTAGTGCTATAAATTAAACAGGGACTTATGTTATGAAAAGGCTTCAATGGTAGTCAAACTTCAGATATTCAACAAAGCCTCTCATGTTAAAATGAGACGTACACATTGGAGATGAGATGGAGAATGAGGTACTCTGCAGCGAGTGAATCCCCCATCAGGACATGTGTGAGGTAGGTGTGCAGCTCTGCTCGGACTGAAGCCAGTTCCCCAAGAACACTGCACAAATCTGAAGACAGCATACACAGACATACAACATCAACAACTGTTTGAACAGCAGGGTTGACATAATACAAAAGTCCAATAGTTGATGCCAATACTAATAAGTTTGATTCTAAATAACTTTGATACCACAGCAAAAAAAAAAACTTTTTTTTATTTGTAATTACTTTTTAATATTTCATTAAAAATATATTAGTACTTCCTACTTGTACAAATAAAGAGTCAACAATTAAGAACAGTGATTTTTTTTAATTTTAATCATCATGACAATACTTTTGTTTAATATTAATGACATAATAGACATTGGCACTAGGGTTGGGCCGATAAGACGATGCCATCGTCCATCGCCGATGGCTGACAGACATCACGACCATTAGAAATGCTGCCTTGGCAGCTAACTGATACTAAAGTTGAAGTAATAAAATGCCAAAATTGAAATAACTAAAATAAACTAGTATTCAACTAGTATATAAATTAAATCTGAATGCAAATATTAAAAAATATATATAAATGACAATGAGCATAAAATTACTGAAACTTAAAATGAAAACTGAATGTATAATAAAAAAATGTAAAAAAGATCCTTATCACAGATCCTTAAGAGTGATGTCTTACGGTCACCGTTACTCTCTGGTGCACTAGAGGGCAGTAATGGGTTGTTGTGCACAAGAGGCTGGGCATACAGCATATGCAGTCGCGGTACAAGGGATGCTGGCGGGCTGTGAACTCTTTGCTCCTCCACAGTCTCCGTAACTTCTGTGTGGTCCAGCAGCGAAGACGCCTCTCTGAAGACATGAAACAAACAATATATTACAGTTTAACTTTACAAAAGCCCTTATTGCAATTACAACCATCCCAAAATGATGCTCAGATTACCTCTCATCTGCAATCACGCTCAAGGCAGGGTCCACAGAAAGGATGCCAAATACTTCCAACATGTCATTCAGTTTGAAACTGTCCCAGTCCTCATACACCTGCCAATTACAGAGGATGGCTGAGTTACATGGCTGTCTGTGTAGGTGGGGAACAATTCAATGGAGCGAACCATCATATTATTGCAAGAAAATTACAATGTTAACATGTGCCTGCTCAAGACAACTTGATTTTAGTGTTAGTCTAAAAAGTATGCATTAAAAATGACAATCTATGAAAAAAACAATTTAATTGAGAGTGTCAAGATGATGGTTTAAGATGAAGGAACAATTAAACCTTAACAAGACAGGCTGGGCCCTTTTCTCCAGGCAAAGGGAAGTTGAGGTCCAGACTGGATGTGCAGTGCACCGAAGACGAGTCGTGGCTGGGAGCTTCTGTCTCCTGACGCTTCGGCTCAGTGTTGCCATGAGACTCTGCAGAGCTCTGAGTTCCTGTCGAGACAAACGTAAATCATTGTTAAAGGGGTCATATGATGCGATTTTATGCGAACTTTGGAGTGTTACAAGCTCTTGGTGCATAAAGAAGATCTGTAAAGTTGCAAAGACTAAAGTCTTAAATCCAAAGAGATATTCTTTATAAAAGTTAAGAGTCAACCACACCTACCTAAAATGGCTCGTTCTAACATGCCCCCACATATCTACATCACGATGTGGGAAGATTTGCATAACGCCGCCCAAATGTTCACGCAAAGAAAGGCGGCATAACTTATTCTCGCTGTAGTATGGTTGTTGCCGCAGCCGCCATGTCGTGAATGCGCTGTGTTTCATTGTGAAAGTTCACCGTGGACGAAGTGGAGTCCAGCCCGGGGTCGTCACATGTGGTTGCTGCAAGCCCGCCGGACGTTCCTTCGTCGAATCCACCGGCCGCGCCGTTCTCAAGCCCACACGCCTAAATACACAAAATAATGTTCTTTTTAGCAACATCATATGACCCCTTTAATTTTCAAAATGACATGGATGAAGGAACAAATCTAAACTAATCTAATCTTGAACAAAAGATAGATGGAAAAAATGTCTGCATACTGGAACTGCATTCTTCAGACGGATGAACTTAATTTTTCCTTCTTACCTTGACTAACATATTTCATCTCTTGGGGCTGCGTGTCCATCTCATAGTCCTCTTCATAGCTGCGCTTATGCCTGTTTGGAACATAGGAAGTGGAAGGCACCACTCGTGCCTGACTGGTACCTGCGTAGCTGTTCTGAGCCGTTAAAGATCGCTTATCTTCCATATTGGTCAATAAGAACAAGGGAAACTAACAATCATACACTGTGAAAACTTACTTGAAGTAAACAAGATAGTTTCTGGCTCCATATAAAGGATATTTCTTTGGCCCATTGAGATTCTCCTGGGATGGGGACACAATAAAATGTCTGTCTCTCTGAAGTAACTGTGTTTCTTGAGTTGAAGTCCACCTGCTGATATAAAAAGTCCAGTTGCTTATATCTGTTTAACTCTTATATTATGTTGCAGGTCAATCTGACATATTTCATATTGACATTTTTGAATACACGTTAATCTATGATGTTCTTAACATTTTGTGACTCATTTAGTGTCATGACATGCCTGCAAAATGTTGGTACAATCTTTCTATTACAATTATGAAATTTGCAGGTCAGTGTTAAAGACAGCTGCACAGACCCAACATAAAAACTTTTTTTTTTTGTATTTTGTTTTGCTAATTTTTCAACTACACTCTGGGGTTATTTACATTTATGCATTTGGCAGATGCTTTTATTCGAAGAAACATTATAAGTTATAATTATAATTGCATTTATAATATAGTGTTCATAACATTCACAGTTTATGAACATATCAAATATGTGTTACCGTTTTAAAAATCATATGTTCTCATGTTTATTTTTTGTAATATTTGAAAAGTATTAATGTTAAAGATTTGCTGTTTTACCCGTTTCTTTTGGTTGGCTTTTCATATTGTGATTTTTAATTAATTGTATTCAATCAACCCCGGTCAGAAAAATTGTACCCCGGTTTTGAAAATGATGTAACATGCTTTTAACACACCTATAAATTTGATCTGAAATATGATACAGCTTCTCCAGACCTAGTATATAAATACACTGGTCTGTGCTGTATGTTTATATGTTAAGGCAAATATTTACTCACCCCACCCACTGTGATATCTTTGTATTTTCCACATTTCACCTGCTGTTAAGGACAAGTTAGAAATTATTCAAACAATAATGGGGCAAATGCAATTATATTAGGCAGGCTTAGAAGTACGTACTTTAGAGTTAGATGTGAGATCATTCGTCTCATAAACACCCATGAAAAATTCTGGATCAAACATATCCTGGACCATGCAACGAAATTTCACGAGGCTATTAGGCTTCAGGTAGTACAGGGGAACATCATTCAGAGATGGAACCTGGAAAAAACAGAAAAAGAATGACACCAAAGTCAAACAGGTGAGCTTGAGGACTGATCTCTCACTAAAACCATTCATTTTCTGGCTAATAATTAAGGCAATCATCACAACCCCATATTTAACTGTGCACAGCTGTAAAAATAACATGCTAGATTACACCCACGTCAGTTTTCATGGAAAAAGAACCGGCTTATTGCATAACATTGATGTCATCTGTCAAAACAACGCCACACAGTGGACTAGACACTATCCTAAACATAAGCACACATTTATTTCTGCAAGAATACCGCATAAAACCATTAATGTGTCAATATACTAAAAATGTCAGAGGAGATAAGGATTTTAACAGCTAACTTACCCATGTATGAGCGTCGTTTAGTTTCAGTTTCTCTTTGAAATACTCCACAACTTTCTTCTCCCAGTCTGGACTGGAGTTACTCTGGGCTGTAGGAACACAAAGCATAGTCACATGTTAGAAAAGTAGTTTATACATGGTTATTTACAGTGTAATGCTGGCCAGTACATGTAAACTGATTTACAAAGCGTTGCAAATCATGACGATCACATGCTCCTCTGTGAACTAACGTTACATGCATTAGTATCAAAGAACATATTTTGACTGCTGTGTCTTACCAAACAGCCCATCAACAACAGCCAGTGGGTTATTGATCCAGTCATGAACCGTAGGCATCGCTGCAGGATTTTGAAACACACAAAATGTAAAACTAATACTTCTTTGACATGTACTATAACAAGCACGTTCCAGAGTTCACGCGGGGCACAATACGCAGTGGCGGGAAAATTGCGTCATAAAAACTACCATGTGACCAGGGCGCAGCGCGCACTGCCTTGAGAAGACTAGACAGTAGTTCACCGATATGTGCAATGGCTCTATCAAAAAACTCTTCCTACAAACAGTATATATACATTTATATATATAAATGTATTATTATATTATTATTATTATTATTATTATTAAATAAGTTATTCGAAATTATAATATGTTAATAATAACATTAATAAGAAGTTATTTGTGCTCAAGTATGAAAATGATTGATGATTGCAAGAGTTTCCATAAAATGCCTAAAGTTTGACATTTATTGAACAAACTTACTCAAGTAAGAAGTACGTTTGTACACATTTGAAGTAAAAATTGATTAGCGCTTGAAAGTGAAGGTGTTTTTGTTTGGAAGTGTTTTATTTTCTAGCATCTCGTGTTTTTAAAAGAAAAACGAAAGAAATTACATTTTCGATGTTGTGTGTCACTGATTACTTTTGCCTTGGTACGTCAACGTCACGCAGATCTGTATATCATGTGCTGTGCGTCAGAGCAGATTATTATATGAAACTTTCATACTGTCAATGAAGTGAAAATCTGCGAAAATCTAGAGATCCCTTTTAGCTCTGCCGTGACGAACCAGGAAGTGTTGTAAAAAAGAAGCTCTGCCTGTTCCTACTGGAGGACAAGCTACGTGTAATATTTGATTGAAAATGGCTGATAGGAAAGCCAATAACATCCCCAGCAGCAGCGCAAATCTGCTGTTTTCAGCGGCTCCGGAGTTCAACTTCAGCCTGCCGTTCATACCTGTCAGTCAGGCCACCGGCCCCGCGGTTTTATCCGGAGGTGAGCTTAGAAAGTCTTAAAATGAGCTGCTGTAGTGGCTAGTGATGTTAGCTTTCCTCTATTTTCAGCTCAAAGGTCTTTGCTCTTTATGATAATAAGCTTATACTTTCTGTAAGATTATTTTACTCTGATATCCAGTAAACATAAACAAGCATTTTTTACCGTTGTCAAATCTTTTGCGAATTTATTTGCTTGATTAGTAAAAGAACAGTTGACGTTACATTTATGTTTATATACGTGGCAAAATGTCATAACAGGTAGCATTTACGGTGTGAAATTAATCAGAGGTCGCTACTCAAACGTGCCATGAGATTACATTAAAACTAACTATCCCCTAAACCACCTGTCATCAAACCTTAACTTAATTTAATTGCATTAAATATTGTAGAAACACAGAAATATCATATGTACCTTTTAAAGGACCATTACTGCTATTACCTCGTTTTAAAAGTGCCATATGCCATAGCAACAAAAAAAACACACAAAAAACATCCTCTTTATAAAAACTGTCAGATATTTATGAAAACATTTATACAATCAGGAAATATCAAAGTCAGTCTTTATCCTGAAGCTCCTCTTTTCATATTGCACCTGTGAGGAGTTCAAAAATCCTCTGCTCAACTCTGAATTTAGTAGATTGATTTTTTTTGTATTTTATTTTTTAATTTGAGGATTTCTATTTTTGTAGGATGATTCATTAAATCTAGGGCAGTATTACAGCCTAAATGCACTTATGTATTTTTTCTACATTTTTTAATAAAGAAAATCAAATGCTCATAACGCTTTAATGCCAAACAAAACAATTATATTTAAGACTAATTTTCTGTGCATTTCTTTCATGTCATCCTCTGTAAAGATGATGCCAGTGAAGTTGGAGAAGAAGACAGTTTTCTTGGTCAGACGTCATCAGCAGCTCCTCAAGCCTCCACGTTCAATTATTTTTCCAACACGACTAACAGCAGCGACCCGTTTGCATCTATAGGGCAGCAGCCATGCCCGCCTCCAGCTGCCACCGTCATTCCATCATCAACAGGCCCGTCGCCTGCATCCACTGCAGCTAGCCTGCCTCTAAACCCACCAATATCTCGCATGAACCCCATTCAGCAGTATGGCAGTGTTACTAATCAAACCCCTATGAGTACATACACTCATCCACCTAATGCACCGACTCCTCCTCCTCCTACCCAGAGCTCCCAGCAGTCCTATAATCCATACCGTCACACAGCTGCCAGTAGCAAAGCTAGTCCGTACCTCATGGCTCCTGAATTACAGCAGCAGCCCCCCAGCCAAACACCCCAGCATCTAAACCCCTATTCTCAGGCCACACCTGCTCCCTCGTTCCAGACTCCACCCACAGCGTTCAACAAGGTTGGTCATGTAATGTCATATTTGTCTTTTAATCACTATGCGCTTAAATTTATAGTTGGAAATAAGAGGGATTTTACTGGCTCTGTCATATTTGAAATATCGTCTGCTGCCACTATTAGAGCTGTTCACAGTCTACTGAGACTGACTTCAGTTATAATCTTGAGGATGCATTATATATTCTACCATATCGGTTATCTGTACATTTAAATTTATTAGACTTTTTTTATTATTGGTATTAGTTTATATTTAATTTACATTGGCCAGTAGTGGATATTTGATTGTTCCTACTCATTTCCTGCTTTGTAGATCTAATACTCACAAAAGTTTCTTACTATAAAATACAGTGCTATTTTAGTATTTATGTGCCATTATAATATTTTGTAATATTTTGAATTAATATTCAATATAAAATATAAATTCTTATATTTTAAGTTTTGATTGTAGTTTTAGTAATTTAGTATTTTGTTCTTTTGTCATGTTTTTTTTTTGTCCAGTTTTTTTATTTAATTTCTTTTAAATTTCTTTTAATATTAATATATAGCTTTAATTAATTGTCATTTTAGTACTTCAACTTATTTCACAAACATGTTCATTTATGTTTTTTAACGTTAATTTTTTCATATAATTTATAATTGATTTTATTTTAGCTTTATTTCTATTACCAAAAACATTTCAGTTTTACATTTTAGTTAACAGCAGTGATACAATAAAATGCTGTGATAACTAAATTAATTTTTCTACTAGTTTTTAGTTTGGGATTTCTTTTTTTTCTTTCTCTTTTTTTTGTTTGACAAAATAGAATTAAATTTTAATATCGGCCATTTGTGGGTTGTCAGCTATTACATAATAATCGGATCAGATTTATATAAACTAGAATATGTAATACTGGTGCAACCCTAAAGAAAGAAAGAAATCCATCAACTGTCTTTTTAAGCACGTTTAAGAAAACTGGCATATTTTGTAACAGTTTTAAAAAAGAACTGTATTTTGTCATTACAGTGTTTTGCTATTTTTCAGCCTCCCCCAACACAGATTCCACCACCCCCTACAACGGCCAGCATGACCGGACCATTAGTCCCTGCCAATTCAATGGTGCCATATGCATACAATGTTTATGAACCTGTTCAACCTCACTGGTTCTACTGCAAACAAGTGGAGTCAAAGATGGTCTGGCTTCCCTTTAGTATTCTGGATTCCATTCAGTTGGAAGAAACATTTAACTCTGGTAAGACAGAAAGTGTTTTCATCAAACCCACTTACATCGGCAGGAATGACTCTACAAGGCTCTGCCAGTATTTTGATATTAGTTCTTAGGCTTTTGATGTTTGAAGTCTGCTGTTTACTTTTAGGATAACTTGGTTTGAGGCTAAATGGAACTGCCTCTGTCACTGTAATTTAATTAGTTTGAGATTAACTGGATTGTGTTTTTCTATGTATGCCAAGAGCATGTGGCCACTCTTAGTCTATTTCACAATCTGTTGCTTCAGTTCAGCCAGATCCAGAGAATGTGATAGTGTGTACGGACGGAGGGCGCTATGACGTGCAGCTGTATGACCGCACACGGACTGCCTTGTACTGGGAGGAAGAGCCCACTGAGGTCCGCCGCTGTACCTGGTTCTACAAAGGAGACGCAGACAGCCGCTTCATCCCTTATTCAGAAGACTTTAGTGAGAAGCTGGAGGTTTGTGCTCCCCTATACATTTTTCTCAACAGTATTCATAAAATGGACTATCAGAAGGCAACTTTGAACTGCTCGATGTTAAACAGGCAGAATATAAGAAAGCTGTTACCACTAATCAGTGGCACCGGCGACTGGAATTCCCTTCTGGTGAGACCATCGTAATGCACAATCCAAAGGTACAACATTATGAAATGTTTTTAGTAAGAATGGAATCTAGAGAGGAATGACGGTTGTGTAGCATAAATCTGATTGGTTCCTCCTCAGGTGATTGTGCAGTTTCAGCCGTCTGCCATGCCTGATGAATGGGGCACGACACAGGATGGTCAGACCCGACCTCGGGTCGTCAAGAGGGGTGTGGACGATGATCAGGATGAAGTTCCTGATGGTAAATGTGTCTTTTAACCTCAGAGTTCTCATTTCTGATTTATCCAGCCTAACTAAGTGATTTGTTCTGGTATTTTGCAATTTAAAATCCTCTACATTTTAAAATGTGTCAAACAGCCCTCAACCTCAAGATTATTAAGTATTATTTAAAGGAGAATGCATAACGTGCCAGAATTATTGAAGAATATTGTGTTTTCCTGTGTAGGTGAAATGCCTCAGGTGGATCATCTGGTGTTTATGGTGCATGGCATAGGCCCCGTCTGTGACCTGAGGTTTAGGAGCATGGTGGAGTGTGGTATGTTACACTAGTTTAGTGTCCAGATAAAAACTGTCTTTGAAAATTGCAGTTATAAAATCTTGATTTAGGCCATTTATTGTTTCTGTGTGAATGCAGACTGTGTTTGTATTCACAGTGGATGACTTCCGCAGCGTGTCCTTGAAGTTGTTGCAGAGTCATTTCAAGAAGGCCCGTGATGATCATTTGATTAGTCGTGTGGAGTTTCTGCCTGTGCACTGGCACACAGCTCTGCATGGTGATGCCACAGGGGTAGACAGGTAGAGACACAACGTTCAGCCACATTCAAGAGAGGGTTTACTTGAAAGTTGTATATGAGGCCTAAAAAGGACCCTTCAGCCACCAAAATGGAATTTAAATATAATATATATTCAAAGCCTACATTACCATTCAAAAGTTTGTGATCATTTTTTTAAAGAAACTAATGTTTATATTTAGCAGAGTTTTTTGATAAATTGATCAAAAGTGATCGTAAAGATATTTATAATGTTATGGAAGTTTTTTTTTATAATGTGTGTGTATATATATATATATATGTTATAATGTTATGGAAGAAGTGTTTTTTGTTCTTTCTATTTAATCTTGAAAAAAATATATCACAATTCTCCCAAGAATATTAAGCACCACAACCATTTTCAACATTGTGAGGTGTTTCTTGAGCAGCAAATCAGCATATTAGAAGGAGTTCTGAAGGATCATGTGACTGACTGGAATACATGGAATAAATATAGACTGGAGTAAAATGATAATTCAGCTTTTCCATAATGACAATAAATTAAATTTCAAAATATATTAACGTAAAAAGCAGTTATTTGAAATAGCAATTATGTTATACATATTTTACTGTGTTTTTGATCAAATAAATGCCTTGGTGAGCTTAAGAGACTTCTTTCAAAAACATGAAAATAATCTTACCCACCCCAAACTTTTGAATGGAAGTATAATTATAAAATCTATTAACTCGTATTAAATTTACTTGTCCTTCTCTAGAAAAATTATAGAAATTTTTGGTCTAAAAATTGACTTTAAGGTTACTGAAAAAATATGTTGTCAGGAAGTTTTCCTTTCCTCTTGTTGCTGCTATGAACTTGAAATCTCCATCCTGTTCTGCCTAAATTCATGTTGTCTGTTTTATCATAAACGTCTTTTGTATTTTTATTTTTTTTTACAAAAAATCTGTCTTTTATGTTTTTAATCATCAATAGGAGGATAAAGAAGATTACTCTGCCCAGCACAGGTCGTTTGCGTCACTTCACTAATGAAACCCTCTTAGATGTTCTCTTCTACAACAGCCCAACCTACTGCCAGACCATTATGGACACAGTGGCTTTTGAGATCAACCGCTTACATGCACTATTCATGCAAAGAAACCCAGACTTCAAAGGCAGAGTGTCTGTGGCTGGACACAGCTTGGGTGAGAATCCTTTGCTTTTACATAACTCTGATTCAAGGTCTTAAATGATCTTGAACATCTATAAGAGCTCACTGATAGTTTGTAAAAAAAACACCATGTACTGTACTAGGGGTGCTCCGATCAGGATTTTTGAGGCCGATCACAGAAAGCAGTATCTGCCGATACCGATCACCGATACCAATCTTTTTAAAGCCTTCTTTTTATAATTTATAACTATTACTTCCTGCGCCGGACAGAGACTGAGACGGTGCCGCTGCATGTCGTGCCAAACCTCTCACAGCAGCGTCATCAGCTTGAAATCGGTTTTTGAGATCGGCCTTTTTAGAGCCCGCCGATCAATCATCCCAACGTGATTATCGGCCGATAGTGATCGGTAGCCGATCAATCAGAGCACCCCTATACTGTACTGAACTGAACTACATTGATATTTTTCATTACAGTTTTCTTTTAATTTCCCCTAATCTGTAGGCTCTTTGATACTTTTTGATCTGCTGTCCAATCAGAAGACTGGCTCACTTTCATCAGGTCCAGTGACCAATGGAAATGCTCCGCCTAATGTGAAACAGGTATCAGTACATTTTGATTTTTGAAGATGACCGTAAAATGCTCCACATTAAATAAAAGATTACAGAAACTACATTTTTGGGAGTAAATTTGAATAAAAATATGGTCAGACATTCAGCTTTATCTTTATGGTGTTTTCAGGCATTTGGCATCAAAGCCTCATCCATTTTTCCATTAGTGAATTTCATTCAAAGATATCATGAGTCACTTTCATGTACATTTTACCTTGTTTTACTCTGTTGCTATACTAATTTTGAGTTACTATGACTCCAGAGTAACAAAGGTTCAAGTGTCTAGTTTCAATCAATACCAGATTTATAAATATAGACCATAGGGTTCAAGAGCTACGGACATTTTTATTTGGGTATGTTGTTTTTCAGAAAATGCTCAAAAACGGGCGCACAGTAAGTGGTTAATTGAACTAGCATATTAAAATATGACGTTCTATATTATGGCATTCCTGGAACCCACAGCCTTTATCTGTGGGTGTTTAAGATGACTTATAAACCTTATTTGAATTATGTTTAATTGCTGTAGGTAAGTCCTGTCATCCAGGCCAATGAAGTGCCTACTGTAGCAGCTGCTGAGGAAGAGTCTAAAGAGGAAGAGGAGGAGATTGGCAACCTGTCATCAGTTCTGGAGATGTTGGGGTTGTCTGAATATCTGAGCACTTTTGAAACTGAGAAGATAGACGTAGAGTCTCTGGTGAGAGCTTTTTAAATCTATTTTTTACTTCTTTTTTTATTAAAAACAGAGTAAGCAACTCATCACTGCTGTTTCTCAATCTCTGTTGCAGCTGATGTGCACAATAGATGATCTGAAGGAAATGGCTATTCCTCTGGGGCCACGTAAAAAACTTGCCAATTTTGTCAAAGAGAAGTCTGCAAAACAGGCAGGTTTTCAATTGTCTTTATATTGCATCTGGAAGTGTTTGCACTTATTATTTGTCCAGTTTCATGTGACGCTGTGAAACCCATTCGTTTCTTGGCAGGCGGCCCGAAAGGCTGTGAAAGAGAAGACCGTAGAAAAAGAGGAACCGAAAGAGACCCAACCTCCCGTTCAGATGGAACCCACACCAGATCCTGCCATCAGCAAACTGCCAGTGGGAAGGACCATGTCCTCAATCCATGTGGATTACAACTATTTTGAAATAGGCACAGGACAGGTAAGACTGCCCAAATTGGTCTCTGGTTCAAGATGATTGAATGGAGGTATTTGGTCAGAACCTGATTGTGGGTCTGATATGTGAACATGCTCTACAATCTTGGATGTTCTTCTCCAGGTGTCGGTGGTATATCATGCTCTTGTCTTTGAACCGGTGAATTTCTTTGCTCTCGGTTCTCCCATCGGGATGTTTCTGACAGTACGTGGGGTGGAGAAAATCGAAGAGTCCTACCAGCTTCCCACCTGCAAAGGGTTCTTCAATATCTACCATCCAGTGAGTGGTGTCTTAGCTTGTCCACTGCTTCACTACAGTGACATCTGGGGCCGTATGTATAAAGCCGCTCAAAGTAAAAGTTTAGTCTTAAGTGTGTCAAAATTCTAAGAATGACGACTGATAAAGTAAAAAATGTAATAACCTCTTCCACTCAACAAGTCAATGCTCTAACAGCAGAAATTAAAGTAGTAATACATTTTTTTTGGTTGGAAAATTGGAAAAATGCAGCAATGCACCGGTGATGACACAGTAAGCAGGTTCTTACATATTGTGGCACTAACCCCACCAAACACAACAGTGTTTTGATTTTTTTTTTTTTATGACCCCACATTTCACTTAAACCGTTAAAATACAAAGGACAAAAAAACGCTGACCAGTGTTGCCAACTGCTTTCAATTGAAAGTAGCTAAAACGGGTCACTTAATGTTGCTAGATGATCTCATAAAGGTGAGTTCACTGATCTATATTTATATTTATATAGATCAGTGAACTCGCCTTTATGACGTCATGGGAGAGTCTCGAAATGTAGATAACGTTCGTCCAAGAAATTGATTCTGTTGGTAGGTTTTTGAAAAAAGTCTCTAAAGGGATGCGGAAGTCACTAAATCTAGTGACAAAATCACTAAAATGGCAACACTGGCACACTGACTACAACATACGTTATTTACATTTCATTGGTCCTCTTGTTTTTGCATGTGTTCATAATGTCTTTGTATGATAGCATGGCCAAAAATTATGACCGCAAAATTTGGCTTGTTTCATTGCATTATTATCACAAATAAAACAAAAGTCTCCTACTCTTAGAAAAGTCCTACTTTTTACTAAGAATTTTTTGACACTTAAGTCAAAGCTTAAGACTATTCTTAAGAGCATTTCTGAGAAGTTTTATACATACGGGCCCTGATCTTTTGGAAACCAAAATGGTTTAGGACTAAAGTGTCAGTGTAAATGAAGAATAATGAACACCACGATTTTGAACTTTAACATTCTCACCGTTAGCTATACAGCTAATGAATTAATGTTATTGTGCACTCAGCTGGATCCAGTTGCATACAGAATTGAACCCATGATCTTACCAGACATTGAGCTGGAGCCGGTTTTGATCCCTCATCATAAAGGGAGAAAGAGGCTTCATCTCGGTATGTATTAGACATTTTATTTTTAAATTATTCTAAATTTTAAATAATTTATTTTTTGTGTCTTGTGTCCAGAATTAAAAGAGAGTTTATCCAGGATGGGCTCGGACCTAAAGCAAGGCTTCATCAGCTCTCTGAAGAGTGCTTGGCAGACTCTGAATGAGTTTGCCCGCGCTCACACCTCGTCCGTTCAACTGCATGAACAGCTTGCCATGGTCGCCAGTCAAATTAAAGCAGAAGAGGAAAAGCAGCAAGGGGAAGGCAAGTTAACCGCAGTTAATATCCTCTTACCCTTTTTCATTTCATAATTTCTCCAGTTCACTGTGCACACTTCTGCTCAATCAAAATCTGAATCTCACTGTTTGTTTGCAGAGGAGAATAAGATGGTTGAGAGTCCTGAGCCTCAGAAGGAAGAGGAGACACAAATAAAAGTGGGCATGCTGAATGGAGGGAATCGCATTGACTACGTCCTGCAAGAGAAACCCATCGAGAGCTTCAATGAATACCTGTTTGCACTCCAAAGTCATCTGTGTTACTGGTATGTGATCTTTCATAACATCATTATGTATTAATAGCAGCATTACTGTCATGTTGTGTTTTATAAACACACTCTTGTCTCTTTCCTCAGGGAATCTGAAGATACAGCCCTGCTTCTCCTCAAGGAAATTTACAAGACCATGAACATACACCCAGATCATTCAGTGCATTGATGTAACGGCTCACTAAAACTCCTCAGTCATCACAAATCACATTACTTTGAAGATAAAATAATATTTTAAACAGTATTCAACTCTTCATCTGGGACTCGTTATTTTATTTTTTATTCTTGTAGTCTATATTAAAATACAAGTGTATTATTCCATGTGTCTTAAATTAAAAGTCAAATAGTGGATTTCAATATTCGGTATAAAATGCCATTTTTATAGCTTAAATTATAAGAGTTGCGAATGTTTGAGTGCAATTGCAAATGGAATCAAACGGTATTAACAGAAATTTTATCTATAGTTAGTGAAGAAATAACTATGCTGTGTAAAACCTACAACCAACAAATCATAATAAACTGAACTATTATGAGCCATTTTGTCGATTTGGCTTGTAAGACCATGTTACAGTTCTCTTCAATATATTGGGATATTTAAGAATTGATATTAGCTGGCACAGATTTAGCTCCCAAAATTTATGACAAAACTGCTGGGATCAAATAGCAGGTTTACATTTCAAGGTTAAACTGCTGCACCAAATCATGGTTTATTTTGGGGACAAAAATCATTAACAGTGGTTAGTTGTATTCCTTTTATTTAAAAAAAAGCAATGGACCAATTTTAATCTCAACAGATAGCAATGGTTACCTGCTGCTTAAAGTTAAAATAATACATAATGTCCTCATCAGAAGTGGTACGTTCAATCACAGAAACGTCTTTTAAGGATGTGAGGTGTTCTGTTTTTTTTTTTCTCACTACTTCCACAGATTCATTTCAAAGTGGTTGCAGTTACAGTTCTCTTCAATATATTGGGATATTTAAGAATTGATATTAGCTGGCACAGATTTAGCTCCCAAAATTTATGACAAAACTGCTGGGATCAAATAGCAGGTTTACATTTCAAGGTTAAACTGCTGCACCAAATCATGGTTTATTTTGGGGACAAAAATCATTAACAGTGGTTAGTTGTATTCCTTTTATTTAAAAAAAAGCAATGGACCAATTTTAAGCTCAACAGATAGCAATGGTTACCTGCTGCTTACAGTTAAAATAATACATAATGTCCTCATCAGAAGTGGTACGTTCAATCACAGAAACGTCTTTTAGGGATGTGAGGTGTTCTGTTTTTTTTTTCTCACTACTTCCACAGATTCATTTCAAAGTGGTTGCAAAGGCCAATGTCTTGAAATATCAGAGCCTGCAACATGAACCCCTGACTGTTAGCGCTATGGCACTGACCAGTGTCCTCACACATGGTGCAAAGTAAAAGTTTGACACATACATCAAAATGCATATCGGTTCCAAACACGTGGAAGACCTTTCCCAGAGTCTGAATACTATTCCTACAGAGACACTGCCTACAGTACAAATCCAGCATGGCAAGTTTAACCACATCCATCTGTGGATGATTGTCACTTTTAGCAACGGATCTCCATTTTTGTCACAACGCATACATTTTCAATAGAAATGATATAAAAATGTAACGTATGGCTCGGTCAATTATTTGCAAAATAAAAAAACAAAGACATGCTTCCTCAATGGCCATTATTAATCATTTCCGTGTAAATCATTTGTAAAAGTCTTTATGCAATCTGTTGGCACTGACCAGTGTCCTCACACATGGTGCAAAGTAAAAGTTTGACACATACATCAAAATGCATATCGGTTCCAAACACGTGGAAGACCTTTCCCAGAGTCTGAATACTATTCCTACAGAGACACTGCCTACAGTACAAATCCAGCATGGCAAGTTTAACCACATCCATCTGTGGATGATTGTCACTTTTAGCAACGGATCTCCATTTTTGTCACAACGCATACATTTTCAATAGAAATGATATAAAAATGTAACGTATGGCTCGGTCAATTATTTGCAAAATAAAAAAAACAAAGACATGCTTCCTCAATGGCCATTATTAATCATTTCCGTGTAAATCATCTGTAAAAGTCTTTATGCAATCTGTTGCATTCAATTCATTAAGACAACTTAACAAATTTACGAATAGTTTGCACAAACTCTTTCATGAATGAGGCCCTACCAATTTCTCTGCATTTCAACTAATCTTCAGGAACTCATTTCCCCAATGGGACTGGTCATTATGCATTATGCATGTAGTTAATAAATCCAAAAGGTCCTTCTAGAGCAGAACACCTAAAATTTAAATTGGCATTAAAGCAAACTATTCCAGAATGTAGATTAAAGTCTCATTGATGTAAACAGTTTACGTAGTACCTATCAGTACCATCCTCCCACTACACAGTCTTTTTTGCTGTCATAAGGTCTTCAGTAATCCATGGATGATTATTTAGAGTTGACTTAATACCAAAAATGTCTTTTTGACCTATTTCTTCATTGCTGTTATCAACAACGTTGTGCTCTGTATTGTTGATTTATTCTGCTGGTCTGCTCTGGGTTTTGTAGGCCTGCTTTCGAAGGTGAGTCTCAATCTCCTCCCTGAACACCAGCATGCCCAGGTGAGAGTGTGACGCCTCATTCATGGCCTTGGACTGGATGCACATGCGGTACTGTTCTGGGGTCAGTTCATCTGCACACTGCTTCTCATGCCACAGGTGGAAGAGGCCTGATACAGGAGTGCGGATCACAATCTGATCACTCCGTAGGTACTTCCTGTACAAGTGCACATCTTCTACACCCCAGCCTTTCACTTCCAGATCAAATCCCCCTAGAAAAGGGGAAACTTGAGTTTATATGTATCAAGCAAAAGATCTTTTTATTGTAATTTGATGCATCGATTTTAAACTATACTGGAAAAATGTATTATTTTACTTCACAAGAAGAGTTACTACAATAAAATACAATAAATATTACAGACATATTTGTATCAGCTCTTTCGTCTACTTTTGCTGAATTTTTGTTATGAATGTAAAACTTTTCCCACATTTAAATACACACTGACTTACCAATGCTGAGGAAGTCAGAGCGATACTGACAAGTCATGCCAAATCCAAAATCCCTCCAGAATCCGGCATCTTTTTTATGTATCTGTAAACACCATACAATTGCATTATTCACTTTAGTATCAGCAGAAAGCCATATATGCTACAAACATGTAGGTTCATAGAAAAATCTTGATGTTACATACCAGCTGATTCTCAATGGGAGGCGGAAACTCAAGATTTCCATAAACTATAGTTGGATTGTACAAACTGAAAACCACTGGATAGAAAACTCGTTTTCCTTCAAGGGAGGAAAAAAATGAACTTTTATTATGAAAGTTTGTGAAAAATTATATTTTTAATATAAACATTTTTGTATAAAAATATTGAGTTTCTTTTTACTGTTCTCACAAACATGCAAAACAAGTCAATTTCATTATTAATTTATTTGCTACACATACACTACACCCTATAGTACAATCAAACAACAGTGCAAAATGGAAGAAATACAGATGTTTTATCTAGTAATGGGTCTATGAATTTTCAGATATAAATGCTTGTTAAATGACAGACCTGGAGCTGTATTGAGGCGACAGGTGCCAAGAAATTCCAGTGTGAAGTAGATGTCAACATCACAGAAGAACATCAACACATCACCCCCTTTCTCCCACGCGTGAGCTCCGATGTCCAGACCACGGCCACGTGAAAACTCCTCATCCACGGGGATCAGGGTGTAGTTACTGAAGTTTTCCTCACTGGAAAAGATCATGAATAAAAACAGTGTAGGAAACAAAATGAGGTTTAGAAGATTTATGCCAACCAAAGGGAGTAACAACACAGTGTTACAACTACTCTACCATTTATACACCAGAGGTCTGTAAGATTTTTTTTAATTATTTGAAAAAATTCTCTCATGCTCAACAAGGCTGCATTCATCAAAGATACAATAAAACAGTAATACTGTGAAATATTATGACATTTTAAAGTAACTTTTCTATTTGAATATATTTTAAAATGTAATTTATTCCTGTGGTGGCAAAGCTGAATTTTCAGCAGCCATTACTCCAGTCTTCGGTGTCACATGATCCTTCAGAAATCATTTCAATATGCTGATCTGCTGCTCAAGGGAAAAAAAAATCAATGCTGAAAATGGTTGTGCTGCTTAATATTTGGGTGGAAACCCTGATACTTTATCAAGGATTTTTTTGATGTACAGAAAAGTTCAAAAGACCAGCATTTATTTGAAATTTGTAAATGTCTTTCCTGTCACTGATAGATTTAATGCATACTTGAGTATTAATTTAAAAAAATAAATAAATAAATAAATAAAAATCTTACTGACCCCAAACTTGGTAGTGTACTTAAACAGATTACATGCCTTACTCAATCATTTAGAAAAAGCAAGCATATTTCCTGCTAGTCAAAAACATTACGTTTAAAAAGAACATTTCAACTGCCTCACTAAGATGGGTAAACAGCAAATTCCTTTCCTTTCAGTTTCTCCATGCAGGATGTTGGCAAACAGAGAAAGTTTCAGTTATGCTATGCTCCTAAAATTTCAGAATATTTGCAGAGCTCAAACCTGGACATTTTCCTCAGAGACGCCTTCACCTCCTGCAAGCCTGCTTGGCCAAAATACACCACTGTGAGATGCACCCGCTTGTCCTGCTGTATACAAACCTCCCTGCACACAGAAAACGCAGTCTGACCACAACATTTCCAAAACTTCCAAAGGGAAAACCACACTGGGAAACAAGTGTGTAAAACTGGCTCCGTGTTGCCGCTACCCACACATCTTTAGAAGTTTAACCATATTATTTGCAGCACACAAAAACACACTGACACACATTCCCAGATATGATCCCAGAATCTCTCTTACATGCTCTGTGAATATTTTTGTTCGAAATGTCAATTTGCACAATCAGGAGTTATGTATGCGTAAAAATGAAATATTTCCCCACATAGATTTTGCCTCGAGTTCAAGTTGCAATTTGACACGACTTGGTTTGAAAGTGACTTTTGACAATGGATCTTTTTTGCTGTGGAATTTCATCTCAATTTCATTAGCAGTGTGCTGCAGACATAATGTATTTTTAGGCCGAAACCTAGAAACAAGTTCAGAACTTCCAGTTTCAGTTTCCTGAAGTCAATGGGTTTTTCTGAAATTATTTTTGGTTAAATGCCTCAAATATGTTCTGTGGTTAGAAACTCCCTTGTGATTTTTAAAGATTTGAACTGTCTTGAAAAAAATCGGTTGCTAATAAGTGGCTAAATTTGACTACAGAGGTTGTTGGGGACATTAAACGTAAACTCATTTACTCACTAGCTGCTTTTACAGCCTCATTATCACATTCTTGCAAACAACTCAAACTTTCAGGGAAAATGTTTTTTAAATAAAGACTGAAAGAGTTGTCAGAATCTTATTGGTGGAGAGGCTGAAGTCATGTGACTGTGGTGTAGCTCGTTTATAGCCTACATTTAGCTTTCTACTTCTGGCAATTGTACTTGAGCTTTACAATTCATAAAGTTGTTTATTTGCGAAGAATTTTATGATTAAAAAAAATGTGTAAGAATCATAAACTTCTGTCTGTCATACAGCTTGTTTTCTACAATTATACAA